GTATCAAGTGCTTCTGTGGAGTATCAGTTTCTCTATGTTTTTCAGTCCATGGACTGAATTCCATTTTGAAAAACATCTTGAGAGCCACATTGCATCTGTGAATTTGGGCAGAGGCAAAATGGGTGCAGCCAAAGGAAGAGTGTCCATGGTCAAACTGTGATTATTAACAGTTCTAAGCCAACTCTGAAATAAAGAACCTTCTGCATGCCTACTCAGAAGTAAGCAGTAGTGAATTCATGCTTTCAGCAATGGATCACCACTTTCAAATAGCATCCAAAATACAAAACCTTTGCATGTCTACCCAGAAAGCTTGAGCAGATGTGCTGCTCATAAGTAAACAGTGCATGCCTCAGAAGGAAGAAGTACTGAATCATGCAGTAGCATCCTCCCCAGGCCCTGCTTCCTCTTTCATGGGGATGGATCATGGTTTGATATGAAAGCTCTTTCCTGCTTAAGAGAGGAGAGAAACCTGGGGAAGGAGTTGGCAGGCCAGTTGAGGACCCCCTGTGGGCCATATCTGGACCATGGACCAGAGATTCCTCATGAGTGCTCTAGTCTATTATAATCATTTCAGGTAGAAATGTTTTGCATAAAATGTGTATTAAACACATTTCTTTTCTTGGTTTGCAGGATTTTCCAGATCATTCTTTGAAAACTAGTTGGCGCTTCAGCTAGAAGCTTCCATGTCGTGTTCTCAAGTGGCTTGAAGCCTATCTTTGCTATTGCTGCTGCACTGCCATAGATGATTTGATGGAACGTTCCACAATCTGCCACAGTGGCAAATGTTCCTTTTTCAGTTTATGCTTAGTTACTTTCTCACTGCTAACCTTAGAGAAAATCTGACTAAATAGTTCAACATTGCCAGTATAGTTTCCAACTCTGATCTGTGTTTGGGGAGTTCTAATCTTTTACTGCAGTTTTATTTTATCTTGATTGGATTTTATCCCTTCTGAAAATAGTATTTGGCCAAAATATGTTAATACTGTGGATATCTATCTGAATTTTATTTGAATTTTAGTTTTAGACTTTTCTCTCTGCACATTTGCAGCTGTTCATGGAATGTTTCTTCCAGATACAGCATGTATAAGTAAGTCAACAATAATGATTTCAATATCCTGCAACTATTTTAATACTTAATTCTTTTGAAAGATTCCTAAGCTGAAGAAGTGCCAAAAGGTACCAAGGTGAAGTTCCATCAACCCAATAGCTTGTTTTCTTTGGTGGTTCTGTCACCTAGTTTAAACTGCCTTAAATAGTTTAACAAATATCCAGTTTGTGCAACCAGTACACTAATGTATTTGGCTTTGGATAACTTAAAGTTTACTTTCTCTAGGGTGCTGTCATGATAATCACCATACTTAAGTCTTCTAAATAGGAAGCAATTCATTACTGCTCAGTATGTTTCTTCTCTGTGACCATCAGAGGATTCTCCCATTCTTTAAGTCGGTTTGCTGTCATTGGAAGAGACCTGGAAGGCCTTCTCTTCCATCTTCCTGTCAATGCAGTAAATCTATTATTGCAGCACTTCTGACAGGCAGTCATCCAGCCTCCATTTTAAACCCTTAATAACGGAGACTCAATGACAGAATAGCTGTTCTGTTAAGAAGTTCCTCCTAATATAAAGTTAAATTCTTTTTCTTTGAATGTGAACCCATTCATTTGCACACTACTTTCTGGAGCAAGAGAAAACAAATTTTTTCCCTTCAGATATTTGAAGATGGTTGCTTCTCCTTCAGTTTTCTCATTGATTTACCCATCAACTCCAACTCTGGGTTGTCTCTCCCCCAACAACCCAGAATTCCATGTTCATACATTATGATAATACCAGCAGGAATTTTAGCTCTAGCAGAAGCAACCAGGCAACAAGAACCAGCACGTGGACTGGTGCCTGCTTCATTCACAGCAAATGTTATGATGTCCTAAGTAAGCCATGTGTATACAAATTTTAAGAAGACATGATTGTTGAGCATACTTTTATTGGCAAACCTGACGTTGCAGCTGTGTACAGTATTTGTTAAAAATAACTTAGTTATTCAGCTGTCTCTTCTGTCAATGTTCTCTCTGTCTGGGAGTAATCCCAAATAAATAAGCAATTAAAAAGACTTTGTAAAATGAATAAGGATGACACATTTTTAAAAGAGACTGGCAAATAAATGAATATGCAGCACAAACATCTTTTAATGTCACTCATCAGCTGTAATTCTGAACACAGTGGTAATTCCAATTTTCTTAGCTAATCCTGAGATGCATAAAGACAATAAAGCAATGCTGTCAGTTAGCTTTGAAAGAGTAGAATTATGAGACTGGAGATTTTCATATAGGTAGAATAGATAATCAAATCCTGTCCTTAAGACAGATTCTTCATAATTGTAAGAAAATGTTTGGGTGTGCCTGAAACTGAGAAGAGCAGGGAGGATAGGATGGATGAAAGATTCTGTCAGTTGCAGAGTCTGCTTGGAATCTGCAAACTGTGTTTTAACTCTGGATGTTTTACACCGTTCTGTTTTAAAGTGTTTGGAGTGGGAGGGGAAACCTTGATAAACATTCTTTGGTTGGACTTGCCTTCATTTTAAAAAGTGTACCACAAAAACATCTGCAAATGCTACTTTTTGGGGAGGAGTATTTGCCTGATATTTAAGGCACGGTTCTAGGTTATAAAAAAGACAGCAAATAAGATTACGTTCCGTGGGAGGTAATCTAACCTCCACTAAAACACAAGCTTTAGAATTTTACTCAGTTGTTCATTAACTTGATGCATGTTTAAATTAGAAGAAAGCCTTTGGAAGCTTTTCTTAGGCACTAAAATTGAGCTACAGGCATGCCAGGAGTCTGTTTTTAATCTTCAGCCTGTGAAGTAGTGGAAGAGAATGTGTGTGGCAGAGTGTACTTTCCTTATCATTGAGTAGCCACACTTAAACACCCACACTGAGGAGTTAAAACATTGGATTAACAAATGTGGATGCCAGGCAGGTTTAAGCTTAGCCACTTTGCATTTTGGAAGTGATTATCTATTCGTTCTTAAAAGACTTAAGCAGCCTACTATAGCCAATGATGAGGCATGATAGATGTTCATAGATGATGATGTAGCCCAACAGCTTCTGGAAGACAAGTTGCCCACTAGCTTGGAGCATAACTGAGAGTCTAGCACAGGCCAACCTTTCTAGAGTGGCCACTTTTGCACTACCAATCACCAAAGAGGACTGAACAGGACAGTGATTTGCACAAAAAATCCATTTGCCAGTTCATATAGAAAGATATAATTTAATATGAAAATATATTTTATTTTTATATATTAAATATAATTTAATGTAAATATACAACTTCTATTAAATTTAAATGGAAATAAAATACATCTCATGACAGTAAGGAAGACTGTACTAATTTATGGTATGCCTTCTCTGGCCAGGTGCTAATTTGTGATGGGCAAGTCTTCAAGGTCCTGCCCTATTCTCCTTTCTCAGGATTCTTTACCATTAAACCTGACTTAGTCTGGCCAGCCCCTCAGAGAACTGCCCTCTTGACAGCCCTTCAAGTAGAAGGTGTTTCTCAGTTAATGGTCACCCTAAAAGTTACTAGAGAGTCCACAGTATCTGTGGTAGAACTACCCCTATACCCTATGTCTGTTGTCATTTAGGAGGAAGCAGGTTTTATTTAGGAGTGCCCGGATGAACTTGCTAAGGCTAATAACCCCCAAAGACTGAAAAGTCCTGTCATACCTCTTTCTTTGGCCCAAGGCCCCTGTTAGGCAAGGGACCAGGACTGCCCTGAGATCTGTAGGGAAAGTGTTCTCCAAAGCTGCTGAAGGTTTTCCTGATCCCTCTTTACGTAGGGGTTTTAGATGCCCCTTGTTTTGAACTATAGCTCTAGACTTACAGAGAAACCAAAGGCCCTATAATTGCATGCACTTTCTGTCTGAGAGAGAGAGTAATGGGGGCACATGTGTTCTACTTTGCGGATGACAGTCATGTGTTTGAAGAGCTGTCAAAAGAATAGTTCTTTCTTTGAAGGTGTCCAGGGACTGCCTCGCCCAAGCCTTGTCCAGAGTAAAAAAACCATAAGGAGGTAGAGCAGCTGGGGGCCTTTAATTTTCTCATCAACAGTTAACTGGGTAGCAAACTGGATAGCCCCACAGGTCGCTGATCATTCATCATAGTAATGGAAAGCAATGTGCTTCTGTTTAGATTATGGTCATTCTTTTTAAATGTGCATCTATATATGCAATTCAGCATGTCCAAATTTTATGCATAGTTATGCCATTTTATTGTGCTGTGTTTTGATAATGCATATGGCCACCTTAGTGTAAGGTGCAAGTGAGGAGATAAGATACCTGTTTTCCATTGTATCCTCAAATGCTCAGTAAAGAAACGGTGTGCTCAAAATGCTGACACACCAATGCCAAGGGCTGATTGCCAGCCTAGCTTCTTTATGAATGGTGTGAAATAAAGCAACTTCACCACTGCAGTCTCTTCCAGTGAGTAATTAATCACTAATTGATTCCACCCCTTCTCCATCACACTGTTTCTTAATGTTTCTAGGCTTGTCTCAGATCCATTGTCCATCAATGCTTTGTCTGGTCAGTTAATAAATCCCACACTTTGAAGCAGTGCTTTTTTTGTAAAAAAAAAAAAAAAGTGCCGGAACTCACATCTTGGGGTCACACTTTTACACAATGGTTGCAGCCGGCTGAGTCAGCGCGTGACCACATGACCGATCCCAAGCCGAGCAGCGCCCCAAGCTGAGCAGCGCCCTCACAATCAGCGCCGACACACAAACAGCCTGCAGGCACTATGTTAATGATTTCTGCCGCCGACCTGCTACACAATCACTTGGAAAAATCCATCAAAAAAAGGTGCCGGAATGCTGTTCCGGTGTGTTCTATAACCAAAAAAAGCCCTGCTTTTAAGTAATGTCATGTGCCCCGTGTTAAGCAGTTGACTCACAATGAATGCTTAAGAGTACCTCTTTATATGTGTGTCTGTGTGTTTTTACATTTTTTTAAGAGAAGGAAGTGCTAAACAGACCTTTGAGAGTACGTGCCCGATCCTCGTTACCTGGCAGGTCACCTGTTCAATGGAGGTCATCCCAGCCTTTGGGTTCAAGAATTCCACGAAGATATCCAGGTTTCCTCTTGGGATATGGAGAAAGCAACAGAAGGATGAGTTACAGACCACTGCCAAAAGAAGAAAAAAAACATGAGATTAAAAACTTAGGTATGTTACTTTTTTTTGTGATAGTGCCTTCGCTTGTCCATGTCCTTGTCTATTTCTTTCAAACAAACAAACAAAAAAGGCTTTTCTGTTCAATGTGCTATTTAATCCATTAGAACAGATTACTGAATCAAATGAAAGTGCCTAATATGCTTGTGTCTAGGATTTTCCTGTAGTCATTATAAACTGCCAAGGAAGCAATCAGAAGCATATAATTAGGCAGAACATAATCCCCAGTCATGATGGAAAATACAACAGGACCATGAGGATTAGATACTAAATGAGAGTTGGTGCACAGGCAGATAAGACCAGAGACTTTGCTAGAAAATTGTTCAAGCTGATTAGTGGTAGCTTCATAGAAGAGGGAGCCAAGTCATTTTTGCAGTTTTATTTAAACTGAGGATTTACAATCCAACTGTTGCTTCACTTTTATTACCGTAATAGGACATTAAGAAGGATATACTGAAACAGATCAATTGCCTTTTTTAATTTAATAGGAAGAATATTTCCTAACATTTTCTTCAGCATTTTAAAATGTCCATTATATTGTGGTCTTGATAAGTGCAGATATAAATTTAATCAAATAATTGATGGATCTGATAAGTCACAATCCTCTGCATGCCTACTCAAAAGTAGGTCCTATTGAGTCCAATTGGGCTTGCTCCTGGCTAAGTGTATATAGCATTGCAACTGATTGGTTGACAGCCGAAAATTGTGGCTTCTACCTTGTTGTTACTACTCTGATTGGTCCACTATTTTGGTGGTTTATTTATTACATGTATATGCCACCTTTCCTTCAAGAAACTCAAGGCACTATAGATGTTCCTGTTTCCATTTTATCCTCACAATAACCCTGTGAAGCAGGTCAAACTAGGAGATGGCAATTGTTCTCTTATCATCCAGCGAACTTCATGGCTGAATGGGGATTTGAACTCGTGTCTTGCCATTCCCACTTTGAATCTCTAACCCAGCCTTCCTTGATACTTAGCTATTGAATGAAATAGCAAATGGGATAGTGGATTGGCACAAGAGAAAATGGCTATTTAACCTCATGGGTCTGTGCATGTCTACTTCAAACTTGTTCCACTGAATTCATTAGGGCTTACTGTCAGGTAGCTCCATATCAGATTGCAGCTCAGAGTCCTGAAATATGTCATTACTCTGTTGGAGAAACTTTGCTGGTGGTGGTGGCAGGCAGTTTAAAGTGGTGGGGTAAAAACTGTAGCTCTTGGACATCCATTAATGAAAAGCTAATTTGGAAAAGAGACATTTGGATCCAAAACTAAAGGAAGCAAGATTAGGACTTAGATGGACTTAGGACTGAAAAGATAGATACTTGCTGGGAAATCTACCCAGCGTTTATAACTGCCAAAGGTGTAGAGCAGCCTTCCCCAACCTTGCGCCTTCCAGACACGTTTGGACTGCAGCACCCAGAATTTCCAGTCAGTGGCCCTGCTGGATGGGAATTCTGGGAGTCGCAGTCCAAATGCCTCTGAAGGCCACCAGGTTGGGGAAGGGTGGTGTAGAGGGTTCAGTGCAGCTATATCTGAAGTCAGAGTTCTGATGCAGATGCTCTTTATTGAAGTTGGTACGATGGCCATAAAGGTTGAGAGGGCACAGAACCCAGTGGCAGAGCCCATGATTCAAGTGGCTCCTGTTCAGTGGCCAGCATCTCCACTGAAGGTAGCCTTCCTCAGGTCCATGCCCGCTTGTGTTTTGGATGATAGCTGCCAGCATTTCTAACCAGTGGCACATCTGGAGGGCACCAGTTTGGGAAAGGCAGTGGTAAGAGATTTTGGATAAGAGGGCTGGGAAAGTTGGCCATGGCAGCAACTGCTCAACTGCTGATTGTGTTGCTAGTCATGAAAGGGGAAGTTACAGCTCTGATTCTTCTATTCTTTGTGAAAACACATCTTTTAAACTGTTGCTGTAATGAAGGTAATAGACGTGTACATGTTTTCCTAATGCATGCAACATCTGAATCGGGGCATGTGGTCTCGCTGCAGTCGAGGCATTACCAGGGACAGAGTCAACCTGTTCATTGGGCTATGCTAACCAAGAGGAAAGTCACAGGTATATTCTTGAAAACAGAGTGCAAAAATGGCACGCCTTGTGACATTACAGAGGGAATCCCTTTAGTATTGGTTGGAATGGCCTGTTACAGTCTTTATATAATATGTAGTCTTCGAATTAAACCTTCAGGCACAATGGCCAAATTTGATTGCTGACAAAGCCATTTTAAAACTGTAATAGAAATAAGAGGAGACTCATTGAGGATCTAGCACAGCCTTCCCCAACTTGATGCCCTCCAGTTGTTTTATTTATTCATTATATTTGTATGCCACGCCCATCCCCAAAAAAGGCTTTCTGGGTGACTTGCAATAGATAAAAGAACAATAGAACACCAATGAAAGGATAAAATTAAATTAAAACAATAAGACAATAAACAGTAGAAGTAAAAATTATTGGATAAAAGTATAAACAGTCAAAAAATGTAAATAGTACTGAAACAATTTTAAAAGATAAATACAGTGTGGCAGTTAAAAACTCCGAGAAAGGCAGCAACATAATCAACTCATTTCCATGGCTGAGTGGGGGACTAAAACTGAGATCCCCCAAGACCCAGTCGAGCATTCTAACCATTATACAACACTGGCTCTCGCTGATGGTAGACTGTAGTTCCCATCAGCTGTAGCATGGTCAGTGCTCAGGGATGCAAAGTGTTATAGTTCAAAGCATCTGGAGCACATCAGGCTGAGGAAGGCTGATTGAATATCTAAGAGAACCAACACATGGTATGGCACAATGAAGAGCATAAGGACCTGAGTAGTAAGTTGGTGCTTCAAATCTCAGCAAGAGAGATGTGATACAGGAGGCCTGTGATCACATTTTCCCAGGTTTTTTCACTTTAGAACACCCACTTGGGACTCTGAACCTTCAAATGGAATTCTAAGAAGATGCAAACCTATGTGCAAACTTAAAATTGGAAAAAATGAGAAACTGCAATTGACAGATTTATCCATCCTTAGTTTCTAGGGAAACCAAGAGGATAGCAATAACTTTTTTGATCCTCTTCTGTATATCCACCCACCCCCAGTTGTCTCCGGATTTTGCCTGAAGTAAAATTCAAAGCAACTTTTTCTAGGAATTTCTTAAAAGAAAAACTGCAGTTGTGAAAAAGCCAGGATTTCTTCTACTTTTGACAGAACTGTATGTGATGTATGGCATTAGGATTTATTGCACTGATTGACTACTACTCCATACCTAAGCTGAGACTCAGTATGGAAACTGGCTTCATTTTCATATAAACAATACAGGAAATCCAGCTGTAACTTGTTAGCCCTGAAGACAGAACAAACAATGACAGATGAGGTCATAGCCTCCATCCTGAGCTGCAGTAGGAGGAGCAAAGGGTGGGAAATGAAAGCTAGAGGCTATTTTCCAAGGCCTAACCTCAAGATGGCCATGCTGCCAGTCCATCAGTGCATGCTGGGATATGTAGAACAAGTTGAAGCTGGTTGCCCTGAAGGAAGGAAATATCCATCAGCATTATCTTACAAGCTAAACTCATATTTGCTCTAGTGGAGACAATGTGTATATACTGGAGTAATCTTCAGGTGGTACAGTCTTAAACAATTTGATCTAATTTGTCACTTGAAAAATATATATGAAATCCTGATTGCTTAGCTCACAACCCCAGTCACTGTGCCAAAGATGTCTGTGGGGAGTAGGGAGAAGGAGTTGGAGGAGAGTTGTAACTGTTAATTTCTAAGGAAAGGAGCACCTTACTGACAAGGATGGGCAGTCCAGCTTAGATTCCATCCATGCTGCTCTTGTATCTGTCAAAATCTGTACTGTGCAGTTTTCACATTAATCTGCAGTTTTCACATTAATGTGCAGATTTTCTGATCCTACAACCTGACTTACAGTTCTGTGAGGTTGTTTGAGGATTGCTTTTTAATTAAAAACAAAGTCCAGTAGGTACTAGCTGCCTGGCACAGCTGCAGCATATGGCTGCTGCCACACATGGTGAGAATAGAGTCCCAAATGCCAGGGATAGTGGTAGGAGCCCATGGCAAACTGCGGCTTCCCCCAGAGACATTGCACTCTCTCCAATGGAAAGAAAGATGGTGCCACCCCTGGGCAACCATGTGCTGTACTCATTCTGAGCAGCTGTTTCTGTTCAAAAGATATGTATATATGTATCTTCTCCTTGCCCCAGCCACTGACCATATGATGGTTTCCCAGGCCTTGTGCCATTTCCCCATTCTAAAAGGTTAAAATGCTTCTCCTAAGGCTTAATGGGTGGCAATAAGAGCTGTAAGCCAAAATATGCTTGTCTTGTGATCTTTTGATCCCACCCTTTTAAAATACAGGCCTCAGCACTATCTGAGGATCATTCTAATTCCAGGTGTTGAGAGATTTCCTTCAACATGGTAAATGGCAAAGCACTGTTATCACATTGAAGTTGTACCGCTGTTCATAATATGGAACCAGTAGCCTGCTTTAAGGCCTGCAGGGTACAGAATTCATTCAGATTCACGAAAGATTGCTTAACTTATACCACCGGCACAGCAACATTTGGCACATTAAAACAAAGTTGGATGGGAGTTTTAGTTGATGTCCTACTGAAGACTACAGAGACAGAAAACCAATTCAAGCTTTACTTTTTCATACTGTGGACAGCTTCTTCAGTGCTTGAATACAAATGTAAAGTGATTGGCCCAGTTCACTCATAATGACAACACAGAGTATTAGTTGAATATGGGTTGTTATGATAGACTGTTGTTGAATCATAGGTTCTGTTATATGCAAATCCTAAACTTTGGATTTCGCTGTGGTTTTTAATCATGAACAGCTCTGGAAGAGAAAACATTGACTGGTTTTTCATAACAAGATACCAGCATGGATGACCACACATGGTGGGTTGTCATGATGGCAAAACCCAGTGCAGTTTCTGCAGTGTGGCAAATTTTTCATAAACAAGCTTATGGCTGTTGTTGAACTGTTCAGGCTGCATGCCCTAATGACCAAGCCCAGCAGAATGAGTTCATTGTGGGTTGTCATAAAAGCCAGAAAGCCAGCAAGAGCAGCAAACACTCTTACTGTTTCTAGCAATTTTGCCAGTGCTGTCACTATCCCCTCTCATCCCTTCTCTGTGCCCTTTACCTGATGAACCTAAAATCTGAAGATACCTCAGAGTGTTCTGAATGTGCATGCCACTACACACACACACACACACACACAAAACACAGTTCTTGTGCAGGTGTGCTCATTTGTATGTTCAAATTTGTATGTTTTTTCCCTTGTGTTTTACTGTTCTGCCTTGAAATTTGTGCATCCTTACTGTTCCCTGCCACTGCTCTGTAACCCATGTGTATGGTGTCTTACAGAAGTATTGAACCCTGGTTGACTCTTCCACATTTTGTTATGTTACAACCTGCAGTTGAAATGGATTTAATTGGTATCATTGACAGTTGATTTACATAAGATATGGTCTCAAAATTGTGAAGGGGCAAAACACTTTTATTTGGTACAAAAGTTAAGTAAACAAAAACAAACTGGCACTTGTTGGTTGTGTTATATTCACCCTTATTCACAATATGGACCATGTAGGTATGTTGAATGGAGTCAACCTATGTGTAATTCCAGCGCCATATGATCTCAGATTAAATACACCTGTTTCTGGAAGGCCCCAAGTTTGTTTCAGGACATATCTAAGTAAACAGCATTATGAAGACCAAGGAGCTATCAAAATAACTTCAGGATAAAGTTGTGTAGAATCAGAGTTGGGCTAACCCCCACCCCCTCAATTTATGTACATTTCCTTGAGCACAACTTTCCATTATGAAATGGAAAGATTATGGCTTATTTGTGACTCTGCCTAGAGAAGGCTGTCCACCAAAACTCAGGGACCAGGTAAAGAGGGAAAGTAAACAAGAGGCCAATGGTAACTCTGAAGGAGCTGGAATGAGCTGCAGATGAGATGGGAGAAACCATCCATTGGACATCTACCACCTGGATGCTCCATAGAGCTGGGATTTATGGAAGAATGGCAAGAAGAAAGCCATTGCTGAAACAAATTCATAGCATGACAACATTTGAAGGCTGTAGAAAGGCATGCAAAAGATACAGCAAACAGATACAGAATGTACTCCCCAGAGAGTTGATACTCTTTGGCGCCAAGTTTATACTCTTTTCGGTGCCAGGCCAAAATCTTTTTATTTAAACAGTATTTTAAACTCTAATAATTTTTAAGTTTAGTTGCTCTGTTTGCTTTATTGTTTTGTTCTGTTTTATTATTGAAATTGTTGTTTTAATTGTCCTTTTAAATATTGTAAACCGCCCTGAGATCTTGTATAATAGGATGGCATACAAAAGCTTTTAATACATAAATGGGGGAAAGAGTTCTCTGGTCTGGTGAGACCAAAACCGAACTTTGTGGCCTTGTTGCATAATGCTGTATGTGGTGCAAAGCTAACTCAGCCCATTGCTCTGAGATCACCATTCCCACGGTGAAGCGTGGTGGCAACAGCATGTCCTGGGATGCTTTTCCTCTGCAGGTGTTGGGAAACTGGTTAGTATTGAAGGCAAGATGGTTGGAGCCACAGACAGGGCGATCCTTGAGGGAATCCGAATGGGACCTAGGATTGGGGCGGAGTTTCACCTCCCAGTTGGACAATGACCCTAAACACACAACCAAAGTAATTCTGGAGTTAAACCACAGGGCAGGGTTCACACATAATCCAGCTCATAATTCAATAATATCCTGCGATTCAGTGTCAGCCCATATTCTGTGTTGTCATTGGCTGGGTTCAGACAATATGATAACACGTACTCAAGAGCTGAGTGCAAGTTGATGTTGAACCATGGACAATGTGGTTGATCATGTTGTCTTAACCCAGCTGTGCTAATAAACCATGGTTTGTTAACCATGACCAACCCACAGTTCCCAGCTCAACAACAAACCACGAGTCCTTTTCATCCTTGGTTGCAGGTTCAGACAGTGCAATAAGCCATGACCCACAATAGCCATGACCAGCAACAACAATCTGAGGTTCAGTGACAATCCATATGCAACCCTTCAATGTGGATGATTGTGTTATTTGTGCCCAGTCAGTATGTTCAAACCAGGTCACTATGTGGATCAGGGATGGGGGAGAGTTTTGATTTTTATGCAGTTAACAAATTGAACTACAGGAATTGATACATGAACCAGAAGGCAATTAAACGGCAATACTCTTATTTTTCCGAAGTTTGCACTGAAAGTTTACAGATTTAAAAGATTAAAAAGTAACAAAATGTGCTTAGAAAGGAGTGTGCAAAAATGTATGTGCTATGCCCATCCCTAGTGTGAAGTGCCCATTACTGCTGCACCTGCAAGCTTCTATGCTCTGGAAATGAGTTGCCACTCCGTTTTTCAGATGGCAAGTCCCAAGAATAACACATTTTTACACATTGTGGCATAGCCTTTCTGTTCTGTAGCACATCAGATAGGGTGAAGTGTCAAAGTACTTTACTATTACAACGTACGCAACTGGCTTGCTATAGAGCACCTGTTTTCTGTAAGCCTGTAACAAAATCCGCATTGCAGTAGTACCTATTAATAGCATATATTGTGGTCTTCCATTGATTTACCCCATTCTATGACTGTGGATATGGCCTGCAACTTTAAGTTGGGGTTGTTTAAACAATTTATTTTACAAAAGGAATTAATGTGAACATTTTGATGTCTGTGCATAGTTGACCAGCCTAGAATGGTAGTTAAGGTGAAGAAACAGGCCTTGACTAACGGTCACCTCTCTGAGGTTGAGTTAGTTAAGGAATAACTGAAAAACCAACACCATTAGTGATGACCCAGTCCACAAGCATAATGCATTCTGAGTATCTTGCTAATGCTAATACATGACCATGGCTCCCTGTTATAATGTCATTTCAGAGGAGGATGAACTGGAGGAGACAAAAGACGTCGCTGTTCGTGTTATGTCCTCTCAGTCAGTGCTTGTTACTTGGACAGATCCCGCCTCTGAGAAACAGAAGACGGTCTCCTCTAGGTACTGGGCGTTATATTGTCTTTTATAAAGCTATGCCAAAGGTATATCAGTTCCAATCTGTTGCTTGTAGCTGTTGAAATATAGTGTGGCCAGAGGATCTTGTAAAGACAAAATAATGAATGGCTTGCACCCCACTGAGTGCACGAGCAGTAAGTACATTAAGCATCTCCAGTGTATATCTAATCTCCACAGCCTGCAGTTAAGAGGTGAACAATATTTGTGCGCTTGGTTGTGCCTGCATTTTCCAAGAGTGGTGTCCATGTGAGATAGGTTTACATTGTGAAGGATGGGAAATGGGACTTTCAAGTATTAGGCTTCCATTATGAGTTTATCACATGAAATAGATAAAGACAGAAAAGGCTGACATTTCAGAAAAGCTTCAGAAAAATCACTTTACTTAGATTGAAGGTTCCTTAGTGAAGATGGCTGCAGCACAACCCCTTCACTTAGCGGTCCCTTCCTCTGATTTCCCTAATGTCTGTTCACTCATCATCTCCTTTGCACAACTGTTCTGAGGGAGAACAGAAGGCAAGTTGAAAGTGCTATGTTTCCTTATGTTTGTGTGCTTAGAGAAGACAGGTGAACAGGCAATGACACCAAGATAGTGAAACCAACAGTAGGGCCTCAGTAGGGCAGCTGCCCAAAAATACAAGCACTGGTTTTCTTAAAACTTCCAATGAAATACAGTTCATAAGAGTGGCTAATAGGGAACATTACAGCAAAAGAAGGTACATTGGAGGCTTTTATTATTTTTTTACTCTGATGAGTCTGATAATCTGATACTCATCTGAATCAGATTGAGATTCAAGCTAGTTTCACTGTCAATGTTTTGCCAAAGTAATTTTGGGATTGCAGTTTTATGAAGATGTTTAGAAATCTCTGTTAAAAGTCCTGAGCCTCACATTCAGAGTTGCCACATTCACCGGAGTTGGAAAATTGGGTGATACTATAACATAAGTATTGGATTAGACTGGAAGATGTTCTTCCACATGCAAAGGTGTCTTCCACTCCTACAAGGATTTTTTATACCTCATACTCGAGTATTGTGAAAGAAAAGTGAAACTAAATTTGATAGCCTTCCACTTGTGCAAGCATGAGAACTGCTGTTGTTTTTCCTTCATATAGCAGCTCACAAACTATGGTAGCATGTCCACAATCTTGCCCCACAAAGTGTTTGTAGCTGTTTTACTTCTGCCTATTTGTCTTGGGATCCCAGCCCTGTATTTGCAGTGTGGATGTGACACATGAACACATTTAATGGTACTCTGAGCATAAGGAAATGTGATGCTGTCCTGATTATTGTGGCTCATAGTTGCTATCTTTTTCCTATCCCCAAGAATTTGCCTTGCATGTCAGGTAAAAACTGCTCAGTGTATTACTCAAATGCAGATGGCTTTGTGCTGATTTAAGCATTTATTGTTTTGTGTCATCTCCTGTGATTGTGTTTAATAAGATGTTTTTTGTGTATTAATCCCAGGCAGTACACTGTCCGTTATAGAGAGAAAGGGGAATCAGCAAGGTGGGATTACAAACATGTATCCAACAGGCGGGTGTTGGTGGATAAACTGATTCCAGACACCATGTATGAATTTGCAGTTCGAATCTCACAGGGAGAAAAAGAAGGCAAGTGGAGTACCTCAGTTTACCAAAGAACCCCAGAAGCAGGTATGTCTTCTATTTAGTAGTGTGACTTATTTGATATGTGTTGGAACTACAGCTAGAGTTGCTTCACGCAGGAACGTACTTCACTCAGCATCTCATCACTCAGTGACTCAGTGCTTGATTGCTTACTCAGCTAAGCAAATGGTAAATGCTTCCATTGAAAAGAATTGTATTTGACAGCCAAAGATGTTATGCTAAATGTGCACCTGGAGCCCAGATGAAATCTATGCATTTAGCTCTCTTCTCCCCCTCCAATATTATCTAATGGAACTTATGTGATATCACAGTAGTTGTTCCACCACTGCTCTCCATGCCAGATCATTAGTTATTCCGTATGTTCTGGACAAGGTAGATATGATAAGCAGTTGCCTTTCTTTTAAAGTAATATGTCCAATGTGGGAATGTCATGGCAAGAGCAAGTTCCAACGGACATCACAGATGAGGGATGGCTAAGTGCATGCTTGTGAGTTTAGGTAGAAAGTCTACATTTAAAGTAATTGGAGGTCTCTTGAATGTTCATCTCATAATGATTGATCTGTGTTGGCTTTTTCACTCACAAAACTTTGGAAAGGAGATTGTTCTGTTTCCTGGAACCTTTGATTCATTTCTCAACTGTCTGTACAAGTGGGAAGGCTATTTAAAATATAGTTTGGCAGCTGTACTTTTTGGGCTGTATTTTTAACCTGTTGGGTTTTTTTTTAATATACTGGCCTGCTGAACAATTGCTTTCATTGTGCCCCTTAGATGTTTTCAAATGGTTTCATGTTGTGCCAGCCTCCTTTTAATTGAATTTCTCTTAAGTAAATATGTCTGGTTGATTCTATCATTCTTCACAGAAGCCACAACTTTCATTTTCGCATACCTCCTGTTATTGATGGAACAGTATGTATTTGCAATGGACGCCTTAGGTTGACCTTCATTAAAAGGTCAGGTTGAAAAGTGGTGGAATGTAAATATTGGAAGACACAAAAACCCTGTATCATCCATTTCTTAGTTACAATTTTTCTCTTTTTGTTCTGTTGTTTATTTCACAGCTCCTTCCAGTGCACCAGAAAACCTGAATGTCTGGCCAATAAAAGGCGAAACCCCATCTGTTGCTGCTACCTGGGATGCTCTTCCAGAGGGTGAAGGAAGAGTGAAAGGTAAGTTGTAGTAACTCTGTGTGTATAAAACAGATTATAGGAGCTAAGATCCAGACCAGATCTTTTGATATGCTGAGCAAAAAATTGTGACAAAAGAAAAATAATCTGTAAACCTGACATGAATCAGCAGCTAGAATCGAGTCCCTTTTGAGGCTTTTAAGTCTACTGCTAAGCTGTGCACTGCTATCCAGTGGTGTGCTGGCAAACTGAAATGGGTTTGGCTGTTTATGCTGCTTGCTGATGGAACAGTCATATGCTAGAAAGGAACAAAAACTTTTCACTTTCTGTGGTGGTACCCTTGACATCGGAGGCTGAGGGCACATCTATACCAGTATTCTAAATAAACTTAAGAGGCATTCTCTCTTGCTCATGGAATACTGAAGATTGTAGTCTGTAAGGGATCTCTAGGAGAGAATTCCTAGCACTTTGAAAAAACTAGAAATCCTTGGTTTGGTTTGGTTTGGTTTGGTTTGGGGGCTAGAGCTCCTGGATTCTCTCTGTCAGCTTTTGGCTTTATACTTCCTTGACTGTCTGCATGATCTGTAGCAGCTTTCCCCAACCTTGTGCCTTCCAGACATGTTTGGACTGCAACACCCAGAATTCCCAATAAATGGCCCTGCAGGATGGGAATTCTGGGAGTTGCAGTCCAAATGCCTCTGAAGGCAACCAGGTTGGGGAAGGGCATTCTATAGGAATGATCCAGATTCTTTACACCTCACTGCAACAGAAGAAAATGTTATACAAGCAGGAATTAGGGTGTGTATAGAGAATACTGGATAAGAAGAGGATTGGCCAATGCAGGAAATACCTTCCTTCTATCTGTGGGAGGTCAGGTGTGCAGATCAGTTACCACATGGAGAAGAAGGGAGAATTTCCAGGGTAGAAAACCCATTTCTTTTCTAGCCTTCTCCTCCACTCCTAGTCACTTGCATCCTGTCCTCCATACACATGGATTCTGTGCCCTCTTCCTCCATGTGAGGAGGAAAAATCAGGATCATGCAGTCAGTTTTGAATATCCACTCATTTTTAAAGTAAAAATAAGGTGCCAAGCTCCACAATTTTGCATGGAACATTGTATTACATGTATGTTTGAATTTAAAATTTTTGTTCATTGTAGCTGCCAAGTAAATTTCTGACTTAAGAAACTCTGGTTTCTGACTGTGACTTAAGTAGTCATAGAAGAATCCATAAGATCTGTCACAATTTAATCTACAATGAAGCTCTGAGTTGGCTGTCAGTATGAGGCCAATTTTGTCCATTTGCCCACATTTTCCCCTTTATGGAGAACACATGCCCTCTAACAGGTACTGATGTTAAATACCTTGTAAACTTCATCCAAGCGATGGCAGAATAGAATAGGAAAAATATGATCCTAACCTTTCAACTGCCTTCTTTACCAGCACTTTCTTCCTCTTCTCCCAGACTCACAGGCTAAAGTGTCCTGAACACATCTGGCTAAGTTTGAAATGACAGCAGACAAATTATCAGTTGAAAAAGATTACGGCAGTGCTTTTCCTATGGGCTTTCTTTTCCACTCATTCCAACTTAGTATTCAGACTCAGACAATGAGTTTAGATATTCAATTCCTGTGTAGTTTGGAGAAACTAGTGAAAGCCAAGACAGTTAAAATAATTATGATATTAAAATAAATATGCAGTGTAGATACATCTGAGAATATGCTGGGCTTCAGTGTAGCCTTTAACACCAGTAATATTAACTTGATACCTCAGAGGGACACCTCAGATGGCCTGAAGTGTAAGGAGATAATTGACCAGGTCATGTGCATTCACCTTCAGCTTCAATCTGCTAAAGTTTCATTCACACTAACTAGACAAACTGATAAACTGTTCCTGGACTGGCGTATTACATGTTTGAATGATTTCCCAGTGCACAAAGATATGCTGCATGAAGAAAAATCAACCTTCAAAGAGATTTTCTCTCCCTTACAGTTTCTGCTTTCCAGTTTTCTGCATGTAAAGTGTAGTCAGGCGCAATTTTTGTGTTTCTGTAAAATGGTCACCAAACAATTCTTTGGACATGCTTTGACATGCATTTTAACAATTAGCGCTGACAATGCAATGCTAGGTTTTGTGAAAGAGATGTTGTAGTCCTTAAGAGTGGTGGGTAAGGGGAGCATTTTAATGACATAGCACAGATCAAACTTTAGGAGAATCCTAGAAGTAACCCAAACATATGCTATGTTTGAATGTTTCATAAAATTATATTTGCATGTTATTTTGTATCAAATGCCGCATAATCCTTTGCTTACATTGTATTGGCCATATAAGGAGCTATCGCAGTGTTGTTGTGTCTCCATGCTTTTTAGGCAAAGTGTAAGTGTAAGGAGATAATTGACCAGATCACATGCATTGAGACCTGGTCTCAGTGTGCATTGACCTGGCCATGGCGGAGAGTCCACTTTATATCTGTGCCTCACAGTTTTGCCCCAGATTTTGGGAGAGGTGATGCTATCACTGGAGAAGCCATGGTGTGGGCTTTCCCCGCATCACCAGTTGCTTGTTGCCTTACCTCAATGCAGGAAGGAGCAGTGCTGCCCTTGCTTCACTCAAGTAGCTCAGCATAAAAAGGTGGCCTTAATAAATGAAATGAGATGGGCTTCTCCTTCATTAGCCGCTTTGCGAGTAGGGCTGGTTCTCTTCAGCACAGAGATCGTGGTTTGTTTAATCCAGAGTTGCTCATTGTTTGAAGAATTGCAAAATTGGTTAATGTTGTATCCCAAAACTAGGCAATTCTGCCTTAAGCCAACGAGGATCGACACAACAAAGCTGGCATAGAGGCCTGACTCTTATATCCAGCACTATGAATCATCCTTTCTTATACTGGGAATGTTATAGCTCAACTGGCCCTTAGAATCACTGTTACTGAGACGATGTCAACCAGCATGTGGTACCTTAGCAGTTCAACTATGGACTGTGCACTTTTTGGGTATGAGAAACAGCTTATTCCTTCTATATATGTGTATGCAAGAATATTTGATGTCTGATATAGTAATAATAACATAAACTGTGACATACTGATAGAGTCTGGGGTATTCATTTAAATATTGGACACTTGTGTCTTAAAAGGATAGCAAAGTATTTGTTCAACTTTATATATATGTCTTTTATACCCCAGCTGTTACTTTGACGTGCATTGCCAGTGTATTAATTTTAGTAATGCACGTTCTAATTCATCCTACCCATACAGTCTGTCCGCTGGAAACAGGATTGTTTTCAGTTTCCTCCTTCCAACCGTCTGCCAAATCATTTCAGAATACATTCTTTCATACGCCCCCGCTCTCAAGCCCTTTGGAGCAAAGTCCATTTCCTACTCGGGAGACACTACGTCCGCCATGGTGGATGGTCTGCAGCCCGGCGAGCGCTATATTTTCAAAATCCGTGCAGCAAACAGGAGGGGCCAAGGCCCTCAGTCCAAAGCTTTCAGTGTTGCCCTGCCAGCAAGTAAGCACTGAGTCTTTATTCTTCTGTCTATCTAATTCCACGTTGCTATTTCTCACTGTATCCCATTTATAGCCGTGCATTGCCTTGGAGGGGTTTCTTTCTATTTCAAGGATGCTTTGTTATAGGACTGAGCACTTTATTTTAGGGTATGTGCAGGGTCCGTCTCTGGCTGCAGTTGTGGGCAACTGGAGGCTTCAGCCTAATTTCAAAACACCTCTGAAAGTGATCAGATCAGGACTCTGTATCCTGGCTAGGTATGAGGCCTGAGGAAGCAGACTGCACCGTGATGCTCACTGTCAATTTTGGGCCATGCCACACAAGGCAGGAGACAAGGCCTTGGAAAACACACTGTATGAGGCATGCATTTTTCCCCATAAGAAATTATTGTCCCGGCCTAAGATAGCAGGCCTTAAGAAGGCTGGCAGAGCCAGACTGTTTCTTGGCTTTGCCACTTAAGAGATTTCATTCTTAAGTATGAACTGCTTCAGGAACTGACTAAAGAGGTGAGCCTTAGTTTCATATCTTGGGTCTACAGATCACAATTGTATGCCAGGCTTCCTCAACTGGGTTCTGTTCAGATTTGTTGGACAGCAGCTCTTGGTATCTTTCAGCCTGAGGAACTGTTGTCCAACACATCCGGAGGGCACTGTGTTGGGGAAGGCTGTTGTAGGCTCCTATTCTCTCCCCCCACTCCCCCAACATACACATAACATAAAATGCTTGCTTTCTTTAATAATAAATATAGGTACTATTTAAACCTTCCACATATTGGTTAAAACTTAGTCAATGAAGAATTTAAATTCATTTGCTACTGGAAATTCTCTTAAAAGTTCTCTACTGTGATTTTTGTTGACAGATATTCTCTGATGTCTATGTTTAAAGTACAGCGATATTCAACTTTGATGTTTGATTTCACTCTGTGGTACTTGATAATGTTCTGTAGATATCACACAATGACATTTAGTTCCTGAGACCATTTACTAGGTAATATGCAATGGTGTCTAGTTTTCAACAGTACTGAGCAATCGACCACTTATTACATTTCACAAGTTAGTTTAAAAGAGTCCACAAATCTTAAGCACTTACATTTTTGAGCTTAACTTTCATATTCAAAATCCAAATGTATAGTTTCTCATTAAGAATGATCAAATGTTGAATATTTGGGAATACTTGTGAATATTGACAGTGAATATTTTATAATAGTATAATTTAGAGCATATTTTGGGATGGCTGCAAGAATATGTTTCACTGGGCAAGCTTCCTTTCTCTCTCTCACTCTTTTGTACTTTTACAAATTTCTGTGTTAATCTCTCCCCCCTCCCACCCTCTCTTTCTTGTAGCCAGTTCAGAAGAATCAAAGGTTGATCAACAAACAAACACTGAAGATGATTTGGAACCCAAAACATCTGGAAATAAAGTGCCTTCTTCTGTGTCTCTCTCACCATCCCCTTCCTCTGAGCATAGTTCTGGTCTTCCATCCAGTTTTCCTGATGGCAGAGATTCAAAGAATCCTGTTACTGACCTCAAGAATAAACTACCAACTGGTAGTACTGCCCCCACAAAATCCCAGCTATCTTCTAGAAAGGGAGCAGAGCTGAAAGCAGATTCTCATTCCACGGGAGACACCATAGTCCATAGTTCCTCCAAAGAAACACTAACAACACAGCCAAAAACACAGGAGGTTAAGAGCAGTGCTAAGTCCCATTCCCCTATGAAACCTTCTCACACTGTCACTTCCTCAGGTAAAGCACCTCTTAGGGCACGCACACCAGTGAGGACAGGGAAGACAAGCACTGATAAACCAAAGTTGTTATCATCTTCTTCCTCACACACTTCATCTTCCACTCAAAAATATACAGAAAATGAAATGAAGACTCTAAGACAGGACAGGTCTAATCTTCCTTCATCCTCCGAAGTTACTTTAGATAATATGCCAGTTGATAATGAAAGTAATGATCATGTCAGTAAGGTAGAGGAAAAGCCAGCAGTGTTGCCTAAAGGACCAGAAGATAGTCATTCAATTTCACATTCAAGTAAGGAGCCTTCTGTATCTCGGAAGATGGCTCAGAATTCTCCCACCAAATTGCGCACTTCTGCATCAGTTAAGTCTCCTACATCATCCACAGCTATAAATTCTCAAAGTAATTCACGCCATCCCTCTAATAAACTATCTCACCCTGATACTGCTGATACTTACAAGCGCAGAGAAGCAGAAAGAAGAGAGCAAAAGCCAAGTTCCATGCCTTCTCCTCCTCAGAGTGGTTCATCTCCATCTGTGCAAATAAGACCTGTCTCACATTCCAGTCGCCAAGCATTAAGAGATCCAAGAGTAAGCACTTCTGCTGTTTCTGCGGCTGCTACCCATACATTGCCTCACTCACTTGACTCTTCTGCTAAACAAAAACCTGATGGAAGAGGTGATTCCAGTGAAAGTGAAAATAATGAAAGAGAGGATACAGAAAACAGACGGGGGTCGCTATCTTCTAGATTCAGTTCTAGGCCCTCATCAGGTCAGACTGCATCGGAACGCTTTGATTTGTTCAAATATAGATCAGCTCTTATTACCAACAGATTTGCAAACAAAGCCAGTAATGGTCGTGAAACCAGGATGCAACCTCCCAAAAGTCCCTCCTCTACACAGTCCACAAAGGTTCATCCTCAGTCCAGTTCTCATTTAACACCAGGCAGTAGTCAGAGACCTGATTCCAATATGGATAAAGATGAACCAGAAGATGAAGATGAAAATCCTCTACCATCAACTCGTCCCCATGGTTATTCACCATCCTTTTCTAAACAATCTTCTTTAATGGACTATTCGCAGAGGAAGAGTCCTCTGGTTGAATCTAAGATGCATCACAGAGTTGTGCCCACTGACAAATCTAATCCTGCAAACATACAAGAAGAAACCTATAGTAAGGAAAGGGAAGCCACAGGTGCAGATACCTCACTGCAACAGCCTGATGCACACTCTTTAGTATCTGGCCAATCTCCTTCATTAAGTGGGCACATAAGCCATCGTTCTAGTGTATCTCATTGGTTAACCAATGGTCAGAGCTTAAGGTCCAGAAGTTCATCTCCATCAACTGATTCTGTATCAAGGTCATCTGTGGAAAAATCATCTTCTCTACGGTCTCCTGCTTCACGGTATCAACCCGATGATCTTGAGAGCAAAGATACATCTAAGACAAAACAAACTTTATCTCAGTCTAAAAAAGCATTAATAGGAAGTTCTCATGCATTATCTCATAAAACTCTCCATCCGGAGACCAGCCATTCTTCAAAACCAGTGACTGATCAGTCACAACATCAACCCTCCTTCAATTCAAGAAGCCACCTTACACTGACATCCCTCCAAAGCAGTGAAAAATTAGGGGATAAAGATGACAATTTGGAGGAAAACTATTACAAAGGGTCACATGATAAAGAGGAAGAGAGGAATCTTCATTCAATACATACCAAAGAAGCCTCTGCATCTAGAAGAATATCTACATCTTTGCCTCAGGGAAATACTGGTTCTCTCTCAAAGCATTCTCATTCTCAGACTAGTGAATTTGGTGAAAGGTCTCCAACTCAGCGTGAGTCTTTAACTTCCTCCTCTACCTCTTCAAAAGATGTAGTCAGAGAGCATCAATACTCTAGAGAAGGTTCTTCATCTTCAAAATCATCCTCCACTTCTCTGAGACAAACTCATCCTTCAGTACCCCGGTATTCATCTGGCTCAAGAATGCCTATTAGGACAGCATCCCAGACAGACAAAAAATATGGACTTGCCCAGCCAATCCCAACTAAAGTGGAACTTGCTCCAAAGACCTCTTCCTCTAAAACACATCAGTCACTTTCAAGCAGTGATGATGATGATTATGAAAACTATGATCAGCCAGAGACAGAGGAAAACCCCACGTCATCTTCAGCAGCAAGATGGCAATCTTCCTTGATTTCTAGAGGCAGTAAAAAAATAAATAATAATGTTGCTAAGGACAGGAGTAAATCACCAAGTCCTGTTTTGCCTCACAAAACAAAAAATGTTGATGAGGAGGAATACAAGCAGCAGCAGCAGGAGGAAGAGGAACGTCTCACTTCCAAAACCTCAATCACTGCACCTTTCAGTAGATCTTTAACATCCAGACCTTCTCAGTCTCCCAACAAGCTGAATGGCCTGCCTAAAATAAACAGGGCTTCATCGCGTGCCTCCGGATCTACTTCTGTATCTTCTCAGCTTCATCCCACTCATTCTGCTTCTCCCACACGTTCATCCACCTCTCCCTCAGTGTCCCCCAACCAACGAATTCAACATTCAAGATTATTAAACCCTTCTCAACGACAGCATCTTAGGTTTCCTCATAGACAAGGTAATGTCTTACATTTATTAATATGTATTATCTGGATGTTCTGTCCACCCTAGCTGATTTATTGAAAGTTCTCAGATTTTGTGCTGTGAGGTCCCCATCACTAGAAATTGGATTGTTCTGGAACCATCTGTCAATTCTATTACTTCGCTAAGTATTGCATGCTGCTTTAATTCCTTGCATCATCCCTTCTCCCTGATCTTAAGTGCCCACAGCTGTCTCCCATTTCTCTCATAATGCCTCACTCATGAGTCCTAATTAGTCTAAGAATCACTGAAGAATGAACATAATACTAGATAGCTGCGAACAATTAGTGAGTAGTTATTTGGTAATTTCTTTAAACCTCTCAATCAGTGAATAATTTCAGAGGTTAATAGAACATATAAACCCTCCATGGGGCCCACCGTGTTGTGAGCTCTCTCTGACAATCACCAGCCTCATGACATTGCTCTTGCAAAATGCTCTTTCTTGTTTCAAATTGTAAATAATCCAGATGAGCCTCTGAGCATGCACAAAATAGTTTGTTGAACCCTGCCGAGCAATTACTTCCCAAGACTCTGCTTATGAGCTCATTTGTGTCCCAGCCCTCTGAGAGGGGTGCTATGGAAGTGAACACACCTCTTTTCCATGCGCTTCTCATCCAGTTGAGCTTCTTGACTTTGTTGATGCCTGGCCGCAGCAGCCAGCTCTGGAGGGGTGGATCTCTGTTTGAGAATTCCCCAGCCTCAGCAGCCCATCCCACTAGCTATATCTCCACACTGTTCCCAGGATTTGTCTGGTCTGCCTTGGCATCTGCCCTTGAGCTAATCCCCCCCACCTCTAACCCCTGCTGTATTCTAAGACCCTGAACAAAGTCCTGCTCCTCAGTCCTATTGAAATTGTCATCTTCTGAATCAGGAAAAGTGGTGTGACTAGTCCCACACAGAACTCTTGCCCATGTCCACCATCACACTTGCTCTCAAGTGTGATGCTCTGCTTGTGCAACCGGAACTTCTGCTTCAGATATTAATCCCAGAAAGAAGAGATTAAATACTTATTTCCAGAAGGTCCCAGGTTTTTTCTCCAAGCTGTGCTAATCTCCCCGTTCTAGAAATGAGCTGAAGATCTGCTTACTTTCTACTCTTCTAGAGTGGATCCTGCTAGTACATGCACAGTGTTGGATAATGCTCATTTTGTACAAATGTGCATAACATATGACTTGTGGACCAATCTAGTTTAATCAGTATTGCCAAAGCATCACATAACATGCATTGCATCGTATTACAAATATATAGACTATTTAATGTTGCAAACTAACACTAAAGTTTTACTAAATGGACAATATGATGAATCCTGCCTCCTTTGTGCAATGTATGTTTCAGGTAATGGTGGCCGACCCAATTTAACAACAAAACCAGATCTAAATAATAAAATAGCTCCTGATAATGGAAAACGAAATGGACAGAAAATAATAAACGGTCCACAAGGAATAAAGTGGGTAGGGTCAACTTATTTGAAAATATAGAATACTTGTAAGATTTAATTTTATATTCTTTCATGTTGGAGAGCACTTCAATCGACATGTTGCTTTTAGATTGTAGATCTTGACCGAGGGCTGGTGCTGAACGCTGAAGGAAGGCACCTCCAAGATTCACAAGGGAAGCCTCTCAGAGTAAAATTAGGAGGAGATGGCCGTACTATTGTTGGTAGGTTGTATGTTTTGCATTTTTATGTACTGTTTTATTTCATTGTTTAACCACCCACAGAACTCTTTGTTAATAGGAATTCCCAAAATGCTGTACATAAGTCATCATAATCAAAACCAGCTGCAACTTTGATGGGGGGGCAGGGGGCAGGGGCAGCCTGTAGGGTCTCAGAGCTGGGACTCCAAAGATTCTTATGGCCCCCCAGATGATGCTCTGAGACGATGCCTAGAAGCAAGACTCCCCTGTATGATTACTCCGCTATTGCATCTCTCCAGACAAGAAGCTTTCAGCAATATTCAGTGGAGCCATACCTTCTCCTCCTATTCTGTTATATTCGCAAGAATGCCTTTTTGCACAATGAGACTTCTAAAGATAACTGCCAAAACAAATGGAAACACTAGTTCCCAATCAGGACCTGTCAGTGGAATTGCTTTCTGTGAGTTTAGCTGGTCTGCCCTATTCAGGAAACTAGTGTTTCCACTCATTTTGGATTCTTTTTAGAAGGGCCAAAAGAAATGTTAAATGTTTCTGGGTTTTGTTGGCTAAAATTCTGTCTAGGTCAAATGAATATATTTAGAGGTGGTGGTAAAAAATATTTTGGTGGAAGCAAGGATTTTGTTCTCATACTTAACAGACTTGGAAGTCAGATTTTGGAAATGCTCCTTAAAGAAGCTGTACTTACCTTGAAGGTGGAAAGAACCCCTACAATCTACTGGCCTTGTAATCATGAAAGTGTATGCTCAGTCCATCCCACTCTTTTTGGCATAGTACTTCTGAGTTCCTGAAAGAATATCTTGTGATATGAATTGTATTTGAAATAAGATTCCTTCTTGATGTGATCTTTCAGATTCCAAAGGAGCTCCAGTAGTAAGTCCAGATGGGTTGCCTTTGTTTGGACATGGAAGATTTAGCAAGCCTGTAGCAAATGCACAAGATAAACCAATCATAAGTCTTGGAGGGAAACCACTGATAGGCCTTGAAATGATCAAAAAAACAACCACTCCTCCCACAACAACAACAACAACAACTACTACTACTACTACTACTACAACGACTACTACTGCTGCCACTACAACTACCACACCTGAACCAACAACTACTGAGCCACCAACAGAGAAACCATTGCCTACCTGCCCCCCTGGCACGTATGCAGAGTACGACGAAGAGGGAAATATTGCATTAGGCCTTGATGGTTTACCTGAGTGCAATTCTGAAGGTACCATCTTTTATGCTAGCTAACACCAGTGGTAACTTGCTGTTCATCAACAGATACCAAGTTGTGCCTTGGGGGGAAAAGCCTTTGTGTTTCAATAAATATGTCTAGTTACAGTGCAGAAAAAGCAGGTAAGAGTCAGGTTTACAGATGCCTTAAATTAATTCTGGTCATGGAGAAAGCAACAAGTTAAGGCATGCCCTTATTCTTTCACACCTGTACATGGTTTATGTTGTAATGGTGAACTGTTGGATTGTTCAAGTTTGCTAAAGCAGGCAAGTGTAGATTTTAAAGCATGAATTTTGTATGTCATTCTTTAAAATCAGGAACTATTAACTATGAAAAACCTAATTTCTATGTTAAATAACATATTTGGATTTTTTTAATACTGTGTGTATAGAAATGGCACACAAGCCTACTAATACTCAATGAAAAAAAGACTTGGTCCTACATATTGCATTCATGATACGGTGAGCACTTAAAATATCTAGATGGTTACTATCATCATAATGCATGATGGCATTCCAAAAATATTGCTCCTTGATCTAACATGGGATGGATGCAATCCACTAGTTACCAAGTGGCAAGTTTATCACAGTGTTTATGCAGCAATTTACCTAGTGATAATGTGAATGTTTTCCTGCATGTGGAGGTGAGGTAAGATTTTATGGTAAGACAACTGACTTACCAAGTGATTATATCTTAAGTCAGCACTTTCTAAATGGAAATCATTATGGATTTCCTTGGTTAACCATTGCAGTGGTCAGATGTTACAACTTTTCTTATATACACTGTCAGGATACTAAATGTATGTGATCTTGTCACTGTATTGTGTCATTTCTAAATTTAATGCCTTCACCATGGAATACTGCTTTGTGAAATAGCTCCCAGCAAGATGATACAATACTTTCAAACATTACCTTCAGAAATACCCACTAAATGGATTTAGTATCAAGTAATGAGTGAAATCAGAGTGAAGAAAAGGCTGGGATGACAAGACTGGGCATAAATTTCACTAAGAAAAGCTAGCAGGAAATGAAGAGTGTTGTCCTCTTTTCAAAATTATACAGGTGAGTAAGCTGAGTTTTCAGTTAATCAACTTTTCTGAACAGAATTACTATTGTTCATTAACATTATTGGTCAAGGTCCAATGAACCTATTTCTGCATGTACTATCGCTTTTCCTGCATTTTTTTCAAGGTGCTCCCCCTCAGTTCTGCATTGCAATTTGCATTTGAAACTTCCCAGTTGGATTCTCCATGTAGTCTGCGTGATTCAGTGGAGGTTTCTTAGACAGCACCAGGAAAAGTGTCTGGTTGCAGACATAGATCTCCTTATTATGCATATTCGTATTGGCAGTAGTAGTGGTAGAAATACTGTAACACTGCTTTTAAGTAGCAGCTGATGACATTTGGCTCTAAACATGAAGAACAAAAAAAGACCATGTTTAGTGCAATGTACATGGGAAAGACATTCTAACTGAAGTCTGCTGTGCCTGTATGTCTCTTCTCTCTCACCAGTGGCTTTGTGAGAGCTCCCAGGCAAACATAGTTCTCCATTATCAGTTAGGTGCCTTGCACAAGTATATCATCGTTGGAAGCCGCTCTGGACTTGTGTGTGTGTGTGTGTGTGTGTGTGTGTGTGTGTGTGTGAGAGAGAGAGAGAGAGAGAGAGAGAGAGAGAGAGAGAGAGAGAGAGAGAGAGAGAGAAGACAAACACAGATGTGAATAGAGCTATCCTTTAAAGCTAAATAAATTAATCCATACTTGGAGATGCCTTAGGGTACCTGTGTGCTATCTGCATAGGTAATATTTTGAACGTTGATCTTACTTCCCTTTTTTCCCCAGTGACCACTTCTCTTCTCCAGCTGCTCTGCCTTAGCCTTGGTCTTCACACAATATCATTGCTGGAATCAAGAAGATCTGTAGAGGGGGTGATGTGGTACATTAAAACAGCTGTGCCTCTTCAAAAGTTCAAGATTTTCAGAGGGAAGAATGGATGGACAGGATGTTGCCTGTTTTGTTACTTATGCACTGAAATGCCTGAGTAATAGTAACTCCACCTTGAGTGCCTTGGAGGATAAATGGATGAGCAACACTGAACTCTGCTGACAAAAAAAGCCTGTGGGACAGAGAGAACTTTGCAAGAATGTAATGTGGCAACCACTGTGTGACATCCATAGATGGATAACAGCTTTACTTTACACGTGTTGTTACCAAAACCAGTAAATATGCACTTACCCAGAATGTTCCAGAACATTTTCTCATGGTGGAAAAACATAGTGGCATATTCAATGAAATGCACTGTTATTTCCCAGGAATCCAATAGATTGACTGTTTGTAAAGAGGCGCAAGAAAATGTGGTGTGAAAAAATGCTGCTGTGGGTTCTACTAACCCTTTGGACCAATTTCCTCCTCAGGATTTATAAAAATGAGTTTACCAGATATTGTTTGGTTTACAGTCAAAGAATACAAGACTAGCCCAAGCTTATGTGGCACTGAAACTTCAGGCAGCTCAACTTCTTTTGAAGAACTACAGTCAACAAAGCCATTAAAAGCCACTTTTATAACTGCTGCTATCACATTACTGGAAAATATAGGCCTATAAACATGAGGAACAGTAATAAACTTGAACACATTTAGAGGACAATCCTTCCATATTTTCTGCATATCTGAGCCTCAATAATATCTTGAGCTGTGTTGTTTTTTAAAAATAGCTGAGTAAAGCTAATGTTTTTGTGAAGTAATTGTATTCAGGATTCTTTGAATTAATGCTTAGTAGATCCTCTGGATAGATGGATGCAAAATCAGTGGACAGATACCAAACGAAAGTTATATGATTAATATGATCTTAAGATAAAATCTGGCAACAGTTTCGTAGAAGAATGAACCATTTTTCTCTCTCTTGCACACATGCATGTGCACATACTTGGTTTGCTATGGCATGGAAGCTACAATTACTTTATACAAGTGCTTTTTAAAGTATTACAATAAGGTCAAAACCAAAGCACTGATGATACTGGTAGTGCTCAGAAATTATGCTTCTGTTCAGGTTTTGTTTACTTCTTTTCAAGTGCTGCTGAAAGTAGAGTTTGATCGGCTGGACACTTTGTGTTACCATGAATCAGATTAAGGCTAGTATAATTCTAGCAGTTGCCAAAGTCATCTGTTTTATGAAGAGCTGCCATAAATAGTAAATATGAGGCTTTTAGTCTGAAATATGATAAACTTGGATAGAAAAGTACATGAGATACATTATAACATCATTATCATCAGATGTATAAATGTGTTTTATACAACTGTACTGATTACAAAACAGTATATATAAAGTTTTAAATCAGTGCATATACTTAACAATAATCTGTATAAAAGTCAGCTTCCAATGTTTCATTACTCTCCAATATGCCTGAGGGGTAGAATATGAAATGAGGCTATGCAGGTAGCAGCAGGTTTGATCATTAATAAGTCATTGAGGCAAAGAACACCCACATTCCCAGGGTTTTGCCCTTCTACTCTTGCCCATGTTAATCAATAGCTGTAATTTAATTCCTCTGGGGATAATAAAGCACTGAACTTAAGGCACAGTTATAGTAGGGGCCAAATCTGGGGCCGAGCTGAAATGCCTTCCTTATTTCATTGCCCCACTTTCCAGTAACTAAATGGAGGGTTTCATTTTGGCAATTTTTCAATTGTGGGATAAAATGAGTGAACAATGGAGCATGGTTATCGGTAGCTGTGGAAGTTAGTAGCCTGTAATTCATCCAATTCTGATTTCCAGATTTTGTTTTGAGTGCTCCATGTGCACAATGCATTGCAGTGTTTAGTTCATGTTGTTCTTTCAATGTTACAGGTTACCAAGGCATTGTTTTAATTCATGTATATATGAGCTGGAGTCTATTTAAAAAGAAAAGATTCAAAAGAATGCAGCCATATGTGGATGCCAGTTCTGAAATTAAGTTCAAGTATTTTTAAATTAACCTTGAGGCAAAATACAAGACAGAGCCAGCTCATGGAAAAATAATGGAACAGTACAGTGGTTCATCTGTGTGCGTATGTATGTGAGTTGCAATGAATGTGTGTTTGTGTAGTGCTAAATGTGTGCTGATACGATTACATATGAGAATGTATATGTATGCCTATCAATATGACTTCAAAGCCAGTATCATCCATGCTACTATATTCCAAATGACTATGTATAGGTGTGAAAACTGGACAGTGAAGAAAGTTAATGCATTCACAATATGATGCTGGAGGGGAGCATTGTGAATACCCTGGAATGACAGAAAGATGAACAAGTGGGTCTTAGATCAAATCAAGTTAGAGCTTTCCCTAGAAGCAAAAATGACAAAACTGAAGCTGTCGTACTTTGGGCACATCATGAGATGGCAAAACTCCCTGGAGAAGGCAGCCAGGGAAAGTTGAAGGCAGAAGAAGAAAAGGAAGGCCAAATATGAGAAGGATTGATTCCATAAAGGAAGCCATAACTTTGTACTTACAAAAGCTGTCATGGATTTTGGAGGGCTTTCGTTCATAGGGCCAGCATAAGTTGGAGATAACTTGATAGCACATAACAACAAATCCATATGCCTTCCAAATGTTGCTCCTTATTTGACCCATATGATAGACATTGGTTAAACATTTTCTTTGATAACTGATATGGCATACTTTAGAAGTTTACCAATATGTATGTGCATTTTTTAAAATAACACTTCCCCAGGCATTCAGATTGTTACTTAAACCCCCCTACGTACAAAGGCAGGTGTAAAATATGGAATGGCTATTGTTGTCTAAATGCTGGGAACAATAGATGGCAAAAGAAGAAGGGGACGGCAGAGGATGAGGTGGCTAGATGGAGTCACTGAAGCAGTTGGTGTGAGCTTGAGTGGACTCCGGGGGATGGTGGAGGACAGGAAGGCCTGGAGGAAGGTTGTCCATGGGGTCGCGATGGGTCGGACACGACTTCACGACTAACAACAACATTGTTGTCTAACTCGTTACATGGGTAATTAGCTTTAAATGGTTGCTTCGGAATTTGCTGATCTAGTTATAGGGCAAAGGGAACTTCGTTTCATTTTTTTAATGTCTTCTTCCTTCCGTAGGGACATTCTCAGGGCTTGATGCAGATGTGGCAGGAACTACAGAATCATATGTGATATATGATGAAGGTACTGACAGATGCAAAAGTCCTTTTCTGAGGTCTGTTGGGTTGCTTTTCTTTCTTATCTTTTCCAGAAATGCATTCTTGGGAATATGCTGCTAGCCTTCATCACAGATAAGGTACCTCCATCCTACCCACCAGATTTGGCACACCAGCTCTCTTCATCTGAGGAAGGCCTCAGACATGGCCCCCTTCCTGAAACTCTGCCCAAGTCAGGGAAGGGTGACTGATTCCTGATTGAACTGTGGGTTCTGCACGTCTGGAAAAAAAATTCAGATGTGGATTTGATACTCTGTTCTTGCTATTTTCAGCCTCAAAGTAGAAATTATGGTGGCCGCTTCATATGCGTTGGGACCTTCTGTTCAAAGTGACTAAATTAACGGATGGACTGACAAGTCCATGTATTTATTATTACGAATATTTGTTAGATTTATATACATCTTACCACACACACACACGTACGTATGTATATATTTAAAAGCTTGATATTGAACTATCATGGGTTACTAGAATCCCACTCGTCAAGTGCTTTTGTTCTCCAATACTTCACGTATCGGAACTTAGCTGTGAAAGGAGGTCCCAGGAAAGACAAACTGCCAGGAAAGTAAGCCACAGTTTGCAAGGAGAAAGGCATTTAGCACTGCTGGCTGGCATGCCCTTTTGCTGTTAAAATTTGACACACGTGCTCTTTCGGCATAAGTGGGTGCACATACAAGTGTAAAGAATAGGTATTCCAGGGACTGTGCTCCTTCTCTCACTGAATATTCTTTACCACATTTTGGGTTAGGAAGTGCTTCCAGATGGAGGGCTCCTAGTGCTACTTCTCAGAATGCATTGTGGTTCCATCTTTTTTCCTTACCAGATATTCCATGTTAAGAAGTCAGGAAAGGGCAGTGGGAAGCACAGGAGGCTTCCAAGTTGAACACAATTACTTCTGGGACCCATTTCAAAATTCTGTGAATGGGTTAAGCAATTAAAACAGCCTCAAAGTAAAAAGCTGAAGCAATAGGAGAAAGAAAACAAAACATTATCATAGTAATATTGCCAATAAAAACAAATCACCACAAATTAAAACCATCCCAGTAGCCAGACACAAGTTGAGCAACCCAAGCAGAATATCAGCCAAATTCCCAAAACCTAGTAAAACAAGACAATCTGTGTATGACACCTGAATGAAAATAAAGAAGGTGCCAAGTGGGTCTCTCATGGGAAGATGCTTTCCAGATGGGTTTTCCACAGTCACAGAAAATGCCCTGTCTCTAATAGTCAGTCTCCCAACCTCTACAGGCAAGGAGGCTCCTATGTTTGTTTCAGCAGCAGAGCAAGTTCAAATGAGAGCAGGTAGCCCTTGATGCAGGTCCAGCTCCAGGTTTTGGGGGGCTTTGCAAACTGGCTTTGGTGTGCCACGCTTACTAGTTGGCAGCCAGGATTCCAGTGCTAAGTGGAGCTCTGTCCTGTGCAAAATTCTCTAGTGCCACTACCTTAATTTTGCCAGCTTCATATCTGAGATGAATTAATTGTGATTGGGACCAGTGAATTAAGGTGTAGTTTACATCATGGCCAGGCCATCCCTCCAGTTCTTTACCACTACCCGTGATGACAACTAGGGTCACAGCATTTACCTGGATGTGCTGTACCCTGGCTTCCAGCCTGCCTTCACGTACCTGATTTCATGCTGTCTATCCCGACTGTTCCATCATTCACTGTTGCATTACATTTATACCCTGCCGTTCCTCCCCTTGCAATAACCCTGAGCCAGCTTGCATGTTTTCCCTCCTCTCCTTTTTATCCTGTTGTGAGCACAACAAACCTGTGAGGTTGGCTAGGCTGAGAGTCAGTGACAGGCCTGAAGTCTAGCACTCAACACCATATTAGTTCTAGATTGCCTCATGAGTAACATAGCTATCATTTTCTAGCAGCTATCCCTTGTCCAGCTAATCTAGAACTAGGAGCTGGCCATTTGATCATGTACTGTCAAACTCAGCAAAGCTGTCCGAGATATTTGGCCTTTTGATCATTTTCATGTACTGGAGACCTGCACCCCAGTTTGCTTGAATAGTTTTTAGCAACAAAGTGAGCACTCGTTTTCACATTGGGAGAACAACAAAGATCCTACTCTGCACCTGCCCAAAGCCCACACTTTAGTTGGGCCCCACTAATGAGATGCTCATGAACTCCCTCTTTTCCATTATTGCAACCTGCTAGTTGCCTTGCCTTGCCTCTACTCTGGCTCAGGCAGAGCTGGTGGTGAGAAGGAGCAGGTGATGCCACTGCCCACTTAATTCCTGGCTTTCACCTGTCAAACAAGCAAGTGCTAACAATGATCACAACGAAAGGGCAGGGACAGAGACAGCTGGTATGACATAGTGTTGAATAGGGGCTTGAGAGATCAGGGTTCTAATCCCCACCCAGCCATGAAGCTCACTTGGATGACTTTGGACCTAGCAACATGTGAGGAATCCATTGAATTGTCTCAGATTGGTTCCCTGGACTCTGGCCCAGTTTCTCCCTGCCCCAAGTCTAACCCATGCAGAGGATCCACATGGGTGTCCAGGAGGAAGCAAGTTCAACTGCTGTATATTACATTATAGATGCAGAGGTATAGCTAGCAAGGCTGGCTTGTGCCCCTGCTGCCTGCTCACCTGCCGTGCAAGCGGAGTGGTTTTTCTGCGTGTGTGATGTGGGGGCTTTGCCTACATGCTACATGTGATGTATAAGCCAGTTTATTTGCACATTTAGTGGGAGAATGGGTCTGAAACTCAGCACAAAGAAGAGGTCTGCTACCATTCCCAAGTCTTTCAGGTCTTGATCTCAGTTTGGCTTGCTTCCAATGCCGGGGCTGCATGTGGGAAATAAGTCCAGCAAGTGCAAGGGAGCTAGATTCCAGGCAGATCTACACAACGCTATTTGGGTCTAACACAGCCTAACCTACCTCACTGGGCTGTTGTTGTGAGGATAAAATGGGGTGGAGGAGGACTGTGCATGACACCTTGGGTTCCTCACAAGAGCAGGAAAGGCAGGATATATATGTAACTATTATTACATAATCACTGTTATAGTGATAATGGTGATGAGAAGATGGACTTACTGAGGGAAGGGTGTCCCTTGGGGGTGTCTTGCTCAAAAACCTAGAGCTCGCATTGCTGTCGAGTGCTTTGTCTAATGGCAAATCTAGCTTTGGCCTGCTGAGATGGACTGTAGCTTCATTTCCAATCACTGTACTCAAGAATAGGGTGCAAAGAGTTGAGGGAGAATTCAGCAAATAGCTGTTCTGCTCCTTGGGTGGCCCTAGAATGAGTCCGAGCACCCTCAAAACTCTACCATTTGACATACACCATCTTAATTAGGCTTAATGTTCTTAATCTCCTCTCTCTGTCTAGATTATGAGCTTTTTGAAACCACTTTACCTCCCACCACCACCACCACCACCACCACCACAGCATCCACCACAGAAGCACTCTCTGAAACCACCTTTCCAGAATTCAGTGTTTCAGGATCAGACCCTCTGTCAGAATATGATGCTGCTGGAAAGAAGCGGTTTACTGGTAAGTTTGTAGCTTGCTTCTTCTGAGCAGCCAAGATATATAGCCAAGACTAAATGCAGGTGATGTGCAATGTGTCACTGCCAACCATGTCAAGTTTTGTTGTCTATTAGTAACTGCACCTCACCTGAGTTTGATCAGGACCACCATGTGTGGGGTGGGATCTTTCAGTTGCTACCTGTACTGCAGGGGGCAGCTTCAACAAAGGGAAGCTTGTGGCTAAAAAGGGAAGGGTAAAACTAGGGATGATGAAGCAATCTGCAGCAGACTCAAATGAGTTTGAACTTTAAGAAACTGCTCTGTGGAATCTGCAGCAGTCTGGTTTTGTATGGATTCTGTTGACCTGTGATCCTTTAAAAAAAACATACTCATGTTATTTTATGCAACTTAATTGTAGAAAATATGTAAAAAATTTGTATGAAATCCAATTGTGTTAAGGACCTGGCTTGGAGCAAAAGGCACCTGTAATCTGCAGTGTATGGATGGAGTTGATTTTACAGCAGTTGTGCATTCATAGGTGAAACCTCCCCTCTCTCTGTGCTGTGATTATGATGAAAATAGGCTCTCTGCCTGTGTGTGCATGCACATGTGCGTGCTTACTATTAAATAGATGAAAAGTCCTGACTTTGTTTGGCAGTGACATATCTAGTCTCATGGAGAAGTAGGCCCTAATTCCTCACAATATTGTAAATATACCATTCCAGATAAGAGCAAAAGTTTATCCACATATGACTGCATGTAGCTACTTTCTCTTGCCTGAATGGAGTCTAAATACATGATAAAGAAAATGCCTGTGTGATATACTTTAACTACACAAGTGCTGTCGAGCATGTGCAAGACATGTGGTGGGTGCAGAAGCATCAGAAGGTCCACCTGTGATCACACCAGTATCTGGGGAAATGTCTCCGCATGTCACCAATTGACTCATTGTTTCCTCCATGTGATCCTGGACAGACCAAGTGCTCATGGAGGATTGAGTAGAGTAGATTTGGTGGCAAGCTCATGTTACTTGAGCTGTGTTTCAGAATGGCTGGCTGATAAACTATAATTCTTGTATATTCTTGAACAGCTTGTCATCAAAAATAACTTATCTGGCGCTAAGATCTGTAAGCTGCAATATGTTGGCATGTTTAGCCCTGTCCCTTTTGTCTCAGCCCACACTCCTTTTTCCTTTGGCTCTGCTTACAACTGGAATGCAGCTGCAGAAAGCTCCTCTGAAATGGAAATCAGTCGCTAGGCTGAAAGAGGCGCAACCTCCCTGTCCCAACCAAAGGGTGGTGGGGAATTAGAAAGAGGAAGCTTCTGGGAAGGCACCCAGGGATTGCTCTCTTTCCTTCTCATCTTTATCATTCCCTCTCATTTCCTTGGAAAACAGCCCATGGAAGGGGTTGCTGTCCTAGGAGTGCCCAGCTGAGCAATCTGCCTTCAGCTGTCCACCTACTGAGATTGTGATTGTGGCAATTTACAAATGAATTGACCAGCAGCAAGCCTCTCCTCTGGTGTGCTGTTTCTAGAAGTGTTATGGGGGGGGGGGGGTGTTGAAGTGTTGCTCCTGCCCACACTGATGACAGATAGTACGCAGCCCCTGTTTATTCTCAGTGGCGTTGACTGATGAAAGCTCTGTTGGGGGGATGATGTAAAATGCTACCCCCGTCCTTAGATGTCACTTGGCACAGTTAACTATCTAATAATAATAATGACCCCATAAAGTCCTTTTAGTCTAGACAAGACTTTGACTAAATGTTCAAGCACTTTCTGTCAAGTGGTTGATTGGTCCGCCTGTCCAGTCACTGACAGTATTTCTCAGACATTTGGGAACAGAAAGGACTTGGAGTGTCTAAAGATAAATAAATGACATATACTGGAAAATAACTTCCCAGAGGGATCAAATCTAGCAAGATAAACTACAAACATTGTTCTTATAAACACTTCATAGCTTGGTGGGGAAAGGGGGAAAATTATCCTTCTAATAAAGTCTGTAAACTAGTTGAATAAACATTTCTGGAGACTAGCAGTAAAAGCATCTTTCAACTTGAAGATGACCTTCAAGATAATAAATTTGTCCACTAGTACATGAGCTATGTTTGAGGGAACTTCTTATCACTATAAAAATTATATGATAACCAGAATCATGCCTGATATTCATCCATTAATCCGCTGAGGATGAATATTGTGTTTTGCGAGTGTAAAAATGGTCCCCCCTCCCCTCAGTACTGATTACTTGCAACCATTATTTGAGTTTCTCTTTAAATCTTCAGTTTCTCTTTCCTTTTGTAATCTCAGCAATCCATGAGCACCATGACATCAATGAATGCACATAGGGCTGTGCCGGTACTCCCTCGATAGGTCATATGGTGATCCTAGCCAAAGAAGTGTGTTAGTGTAGAAAGATGAGAGTGTGATGTAGAGGTTAAGAGTGTGGGACTGGGATTCAGGTGAAGTGGGTTCTAATCCCCACTCAGCCATGGAGCTCTCTGGGCGAGAGAGTTACGGACTCTCAGCCCAGCCTACCTCACAAGATTGTTGACAGGATAAGATTGAGAGAAGGAGGAGAGTTGTATAAGTCACCTTGAGTTCTTCAAAAAGAAAAAAGGGTGGGATAAAAATATAATGCATAAAAATAGAGATGTGTTCGCTGTTTAGAAGACAAGGTGAAGGATTGTATAGGAGATCTTGCCCCGGGGGCCTTCCCTTAACAGTCATTGGCATATTCTGCCTCTCTTTGTCCTTATTACAGGGGCTCTTCTAGAAGAGTAGGTAAACACAGTTGCCCCTTCGCTCCACATTTACCCACAGTGTGTCTAGCTCAAATTATATTGGTCCCTGTCCAACACAGATGGCTCTCATGCGCATCCTGAAACCGCTCTTCATATTTATTCAACTAGAAATGTCAAGTGCTATGTTAATTTAAGTTCTGACTGTTTAAAAACAAAATCTCATACTTCACAAAATGTTGACCCCAAGGCTTTCATTCAGCATTCTGTACTGTCTCCATCAGAAGACAGTGTTTTCGCTGTGGGAGGTTGCCACTTCCTTAATACTTTTTTATTTCATTCTACCTGTTCTCTCTGTATGATGACCCCTGTTCCACTGTTTACTTTAGTTGTATGCTAAAACTTATATTCTGCTAAATTGTCCCTCTAAGCAGATAACGGTACGAACAGTTTGGTAAAGGTGCTGAGAGTTCTCTCTTACAAATTCCATTTACTAAAGAACGGTTTATAATTTTTTAAATAAATAAATACATTCTTCACTTTGCTTCTGGAAGTACAGTTCCCAGAGTTAAACCAGTTTAAGTTTTGGTAAAGACATACCTTTTCTGAAATATTCTGAGCATTATAGCAAATGACTAATGATGACCAATACAAATATGAAACATTCAAATTCTGAGCAAATATTTGAGAATCTAGTTCTGAGTTTCAGCCTATAGTTTGTTTGGCTGCAGTGCTTGAGACTTCATAGTGAATCTATACCTGTTTCTCTATGACAGCTGAGGCAGTTCGTACTGGCTGGGATATGAAAGGCCATCCTTAACTTTAATGTGTTTGCCAGTAAATAGTTTTATTGAAGTGTGCTTTTGAGATGTAAGCAGAGGGTGGTGGCTGCTCCTGTTCCCCAAACAGTGCTATGGGCATAGTCTCATCCCCTTGATACCTCACTAGACTGACCTGGGGGTGGGGAGTGTTGGGTTAGCAAATAGTGTCTCTCACCAATGGGACCAGATTTAGCAAAGGGCCCACCAGTTCTCCCATCAAGCATAGTTTCTGAGCCTTATACACCCATGCAAGCAACATGTGCTGTTTGGCTGTCGCTCTCCCAAGACAAGTGATACGTGTCATGCTGGTGGTTTCCATAACACCAGGTTTATATGAATTTTAATACTGTTCCAGGAGCTTTCTAAATTTTATTTTTCCTTTTAAAAATGATTTTTAGACCACTTTTCAGGTCAAAACCCAGATGGCATCAGTTTACAGACTTGAAAATTTTAGCAAATGGTAGGAAAATATACAAACTCTAAATCCAGGAAATGAATGTCTAATTTAATGTGTTTAAAAAACTAATGTATACTTGAACTGGTTTGCAGTTTCAATTCACTGTGGAAACTTTGATTTGAATGTCAGGATTCTCTCTCTCTCTCCCTCCCTCCCTCCCTCCCTCCCTCCCTCCCTCCCTCCCTCCATCCATCCGGATCGACTTGGAATGCATTTTGTCTTTTGTGTGTCTTCCAGCTCCTTATGTGACTTATATAAACAAAGACCCAGCAGCTCCATGCTCCTTGACAGAGGCACTAGATCACTTCCAAGTTGAAAGCCTGGATGAAATCATCCCCAATGACCTAAAAATTACAGGAATGCGTCCTCAGAGGGCCCCTCACAATATCACCATAGTGGCTGTGGAAGGCTGCCATTCCTTTGTGATTATCGACTGGGCTAAGCCTATGCAGGGTGATCTAGTCACAGGTACAGTAATACACTTGACTTCTTATGAATGTCAGTAATCAGGAGTTGTTGTTCCTTATGTCATCTGCACAGAGCAAAATCATTCTATTCTATTCTATTCTATTTCTTTATTTCAAGGAATTGACATTTGTCCAAACAGATTTCAGGACAGTGGATAATAATAAAAATGCAACATCATAAAAACAGAGTATCCTTCATACAGGAAATAAAATTGAGAGGCTACAAAGCTATAAATCAGGCAGACACCATAACCAATTTAAAATGCCTGGGCTTAACCTGGCACTAAAATAATTGTGATGTCAACAGCAGTTGACCTTCCTGGAGAAACTTTTCCAAAATCAGGATGGCACCACAAAAAAGACCCTCTCTCTTATACATGCACAGCATACTTTCCCAAGTGATGCTACTTGGAGAAGAGCCCCATTAGAAGATTGTAATGCATGGGCAGGCTGGAATATTCAAAAAACCAAGTAAGGGTGTTTCGAGTGCACTGGCCCATTAGGGACAGCTGCTAACAGTGACAACAATTTGGAGAACATTCATCATAATCTGGTTTTCCCAGAAAATAGGAAGTGTGATATGGGATTTATAATATGAAAGCCATACTTATCATATTATAAGAAGAATGTATTCTGTGGGATGTAAGTATGTTGTAGGGATTGAAGAATAAGACTTCGCTTACTTCAAATGCTTCCTCAAAATCCTTGTTTTATTTGCCACATTTGTCTCAACTCAAAAGAAGCCTTTGTAATTAAAAAAAATTGCAGTGTGTTAGAGTACAGCTGAAAGAGGAGCAAGTAAGCTCAGCTTCAGTCTTGTGTTGTGATGTGTTGTGTTTTGTTTCTGAGGGGTTGATCTCTCTATACTTCCTTGAAGATAGTTTTAAGTGTTATGAGAAGAAATTCCAAATTTGTAAAGCCTGTGTTCCATATCACCAGTATTAGAATTTGATGTTCCTAAAACTGATATAAATTGATCTAATTTCAGACTGGATTCCTGGGTAAATAATTTCCACCATCCTCAGAAGCCACCAGGTGCATTGGCTAAAAGCCAGACAAGAAACCAATCTCCCAGAGATGCAATACAGAATGTAAACAGTGATCAACAGAAGTTAATCTAAATTTATGAATGAATGAATGAATGAATGAATGAAAAGTGTACATGGTGAATGTTGCTGCAGACATGAACAGGTGGAACACATGCATATCCAATGATGTGTTGATAGCATGAGTTAGGGTGCACTTAGTTCAAAGTTCCCAGTGAGCTAAAATCTGTGCTTTGGTGCAGAATTAGAAATGGGGAAAGAAGAAAGAAGTTAGGATGGGATGTGAGCTTTAACATGTTGCCATCACCGCCTCCCCTTAAGTGCTACCATCTGAAAGTATTCTGCAATTCTGCACCTAGCAGTATAGTCTGGCCTGTGGCTTGCAATGTGTGACTAGTTGTAGTGAGTATTTCCTCACCCTATTTGCTATCCTGTTTGCCTGTGGTGAGTTTAGGGGATCATTTCAGCATTCGTGGCGGGAGGGGGAGGAGCAAAATTATTTGCAAGTTTAAGAAGTTTCCTAGGTGATAGCAGTAGCTTTTCTTTTGAACTTGGGTTTGCTTCCACCTGAGGTGGTGTAGCTATACTTGCCAGCCATTTCACAATGCTGCCTCAGAACAACTCTTCATCGTGACCTTTTCCTTCAAGTAACGGGAAAACAAGGTTTGTGTTTGTTTAAAGAAAAAGGTACTGTTGCCATCACAGCTACTTGGAAAGTCCTCAGAAGAGCTGGGCTGGATCAGATCAAAGTCCTATCTAGTCGAGCATTCAGTTCACACTGTGGACAACCAGGTGTCTCTGAGATGGACATGACTGTAGTTGCAGGGTGTTCAGCAACATTCCTCCTCTGATACGGAAGGTAATATACAACCTTCGTGACTGCTAGCCAAGGAAAGCCTTATATTCAGTTAATTAATTTCCTCCTATTTAAAATCATCCAAGTTGGAGGCCCTCACCACATCTTGTGGTACCTAATATCATAGTTCAAATACGTGCTATATGAAAAGGTATTTCCTTTTATTTGTTCTGAATCTTCTGCCATTCCGAAACCAGAGGAGGACATGTCTTCCATTTTTCAGAGGACCCACTAAGAAGTGGCTGAATGTTTTGGCCTTTCCCTTTTTGTTTAAAATACAAATTTAGAAATGGAAACTATTGTTTAAATAGACATATGGTGTACCTCACCATAGTGGGGAAGACTGATCAGGTGGCCTGTTTAGCTGCACAGGTGCTCACTTTTGAGGGGCAGCTAAAACCTCCAGTGCTCTTCTTTCTCACAGTTGTTGGACTTCAAATCATCCTTGGACCCGGAAGTCCATCAAACAGAGGACAAATTCAAGTGAAGCACATTTATTAATTACATTTTTCTACTGCCCAGTAGTCCTTTCTGGGCAGTTCGCAAGACAAATTTAAAACATAAAATACACCATAAGACACATTATACAAATTCAAATAGGTAAGGCTGCAATATAAAATAAAAATGCCACCTCCCCAAAATAGAGTAGCTTCACTGATTGCGGCTACAAATTGCCCTGATGATTATTCTGGTTCTACTTTATGGTCTGATGTATATTTTATTTCCTTTTCTTTGCAGGATATTTAGTTTACAGTGCATCTTATGATGATTTCATCAGGAACAAATGGTCAACCAAGACTGCAGGAAGCACTAACTTGCCCATTGAAAACTTGAAGCCAAATACAAGGTACTAAGCTGGTTTGAAATGTATCCATTTTTAAAAGCCATGTTGTAAGTGACCTAATGTTGTTAAAACAGGCATATATGTTTGGATTGGGAGCATAGAAGAATTTCAGAAATGGGAAGGGTGGTAGAGAGCTCTTTGATCCACTACTAGTTCCCTCCACATTTCACCTGATCACTATTTATTTTTTATATCTGATTAAAAAAAACATTTCTTGGCAACCAAGCCAGCTTATGCTGTAGAATCCAATGCTGTCCAATACCTCACACCTTGTCTTTGATGACCTGGCATCAGCACTCTAATGTGCCAGTCCTCCTCCTCTCCTTCCCTTGCAGAGCGTATCATGGGGCGTGTGGGTATGGCTTGCGGGGGGCAGAGGGCCTAAGCAGCAACCAAAGTGAAATGCTGACATTGCTGAACCTGATCTTGAATGGTTCCTTCCTCCAGTGAGAATTACACGGGTTTACTTTGTTTTTGTTGTTCTGACCTGGATTCTTCCTAATTAATCTACCAGCAAGAACAGGGGAGGGGACTGACAAAAAACAAACTACAGTGTCAGCGATTTCCTATTAACAATGGAGGGTTTCTGCACGTTTCAAAGTTTTCACTGTTGAGAGCTGAAAACGTACAGAAAGCCCTGGGCTTTCACAAGTTTTTTGGCTGCCCCAGTAGCTAATTCCTCTTAGTGTCCTGTGTGTGCTTCCATAGATATTAAGCTCTTTAGAGCTTTATATTCTGCTGTTATCTGGGGCATAGCGCTTAGTGATGAGAGGAGGGCCTTTCCAGTCATGGCACCAGTTCCATGGAACTCCTTTTCTAAGGAGGTTAATTTGGTCAGTTAATTGGGTCCTTTCTGCTGACTGGTAAAAGATTCTTAGGAAAGTTTTTTCAGTGTTTGGTGGCTGGCTGTAAATTGATTTAATGGAGGGTCTGGCTAACTAATTTTGTGTGTGTAGTGTTTTTTCTTGTTTGTTGTGAACAGAACCTATGTATTAAGCTTACCGGGTAGATTATAAAACTGATAAATCCATTATAGCAAATGAAGGCAGATGCTCCTTGTCAGCTTTGCTACTCCTTGGTTCACTCTAATGGTGAAAGGAACAATATCATCAGCATTAGGAACAGCAGGATCATTTCGGCAGCCTCTGAGCTCCAAATTCAGCTGGGGCTAAGTACTTGGGCCCAGGCCTACTTCTCCCTGGGAAATCCTGTTGGCCAAGTTGCTGCCATTGAATCGTTCCATCTTCCACACTTCTGTGTTAGTGCAAAAACATACATACATTCAGACATCAAGTCTTGACAAAGCAACTCATAATTCAATTCGTCTGCTCATAAAAGAACCGTTACACAAAATGGTGAAATGGTGCCTTACGTTATGGTTTGCTGGGTTTATTAAAGCCCCCATTGTTGAGTCTGTTGCCTTTTTCACATCAATTCAGTCAGAGGTGACTGCTCCCAGGCAGCTTCTTACAAACAACCTGGCTCCTGTTAGGCACTTTATAGTAGAAAAACAAGGGTGCAGGGTTCATGGGGTGGGGCTGAGGGGTTTTCTTTCTTTCTTTTTGGCATGGAAATGTCAATGTTAGCCAATATGATTTGTGTTCTTTTGGGACTTGCAGACTGAAATAAAACGGCATATTGTGACTTAAAAATAGCTCCAACCACTGGCAACATTTCTGTAGTTGGGCAAACATGAATTGGAAGATTAAGCTAGACTAAAACCATGTGTAAATGATTATGTGCAGAGTGTGAGGAAACTCTGAATCAGTGAGAATGAATTACTCCAGCCTAATCCTAGGGCTTGTTGTATGCATACCTGACCAAAGTGTTTTTAGGATATTGTTTGTGCTAATTAAAGCTGAAGATAGATAGTTTACTTAGATGCATTTTTTCAAAAGTTGTTTGTGTATATGCTAAAGGAGGAAAACCCCTAGATTTAGATTCCACTACCTTAATGCAAAAATTAAACTTCTATTATTCTCCTTTCTAATTCTAAACCAGAAATCTCCAGACAAGTTCTTTGGAACACCTTAAATCTGAGCTACCCAGCAACTCATATTTAGCAAAATGTAAAATTAATTCGTAATAGTAATTAAGCTGGACTATGAAGTATTCAACTGCTGCAAAGTGCTTTCATCTAGCAGACGTATCTCTTGGACATCTTCAAACTAGAAACTTTATTTTATTGTTTTTAAAATATTCTAAAACAAAGAGGGTTCCTCTCTTGTGAATGGGACAATCATGACTTGCAATTTTCCTTTTCATGGAAGATATGTACCTGAGTTTGTTCTTCTGAAGTTACACCTTTCATATGAGCAATTATTCGGAAGTTAACAGAGTAATTGTTGGTCAAAGGAAGAGCCATGTCTGTTGCAGTGCCCAGATTATAACTTCCTGACATGTACTTCAATATCTTTTAGGAACTAGCTGTAAAATGGTTTGTTTATTCCAGCATTTGATGGAATTTAAAAGTTGGATAGTTTTTAATATTGTTGCTCATTTTGCTGTCTTCTCAAATAATTGGCTTTTATTTTATATTTTATTGTTGTATTCGATTTGGAAGGAGATTGTGATATGTCTGATCCAACATCATTTAATAACAAGATGGAATAGAACCTTTTGAATGGAAAAGTTCAGTTCAACGCTATAAATCAATTTAGGCAACCTCATATACCTCCCATAAGCCCCAGGCAATGTGGTCAATGGTAAATGGGCACTGTAGTCCAAAGGCGCCAGAGTTCTTGCCATGAACCATTCCATTTAAATCATCATAATCTTACCTGGCAACTGATTCAACTCTCCCTACTTATATAAAGGAATTCTGCTGTCTTCCATAATACTGGCTCGGTCCCCTAGTTTTTTCCGTTGTGAATCACTACTGCATTTTTCTTTTAGAAATCACAACAAAATCCAAAAGTGTGTGAACTTTCTTTTTTAAAATTTTATTAATTAACTTAACACAAAACAAAAATACATCAATAAGAATGAAGGGTGAAATAAAGGGGGGAAGCCAATTTACAATACAAGTTAATTGAGTCATATAAATCAGTCAAAGCAACTAATAGTTGCATTATATAATACTGAATACAAAAGGTGCACCCCCACACCAGGACCTTCAGTTACATGGTAATTATTTATTTATATCTATATAAACACATCATCTTTTTTTCTTGCTGTTCTTTCCTTCCCTCTCTCAAGAGGACCCCTTCCCCATCCACAATTGCATTGAATTCCCTTTCATTAATACATACTCAATAAACAAACCCAAAATATAATTGAAATTATATTTATTTGTCAACCCACTTTTCACCTTAATACTACATGTTAATTTGTCATTAATAGCTGTATTCCAAAATTCCTCATACTGTTCTTTTAATTAGAAATCACAATTTTCCTTCCAGTTCTTCACTGTTGTTAATCTTACAGCTGTTAATAAATTTGTGTGTGAAATTTCTAACACCTTGATTTCTTTTGAAGAGAGCCACAGTACAGTGCTGCTTGGAATAATGCCAAGCAGTTTCTGTTAAACCCAGCTCTTGTTCTACATGATTGGGTGGTGATGCATTCTCATAAGGAAATTAATTATTATACCACTTTTACATTACATAAAAACACAAAGTTACCTTTCTTCTCAACTTTCTAGTCTAAGGCAGAGAGCTTAGAAGAGTAAAGAGACTGCCATATTCTGAAATAATTACAAGAAGACAAATTATCCATTGCTGGAGTTGGAAACTAATGGAACCCAGCTTGGTACCCAGAGTGTTGCTACTAGAAGCTTTGGAAGGGCTCTGCTCAGCTCCCAACATTCTAGTTCATTTCACATGTCATTTAAATTCTATACGAAGGCACTGGGGGTTGGGGAGTATATGAAATATTCTAGGGATTTGAAGCATGGTGTCACCAATAGGCAAGTGACACCCTCCTCTGTTTCTCTATTCCATCTGAATCATGAGAAACTGCGAGTGCTGGACTGGTGCCTGGAGGCAATGGTTGGTTGGATGAAGGTCATATTTGAAGTTAATTCCTGGTAAGATGGAAGCTCATAGAAGAGGTATGCATTCTGGGAGTATTCCTCAGTTTGATTCAGTCCCTTGAGGCCCAGATAGCCTCAGTGGTGAGGGTTACTTTTGGCTAGTTCTGATAATGTGTGCTATTTGACTGTTGTTATGGTCCCTATGTGGGGGTTAGATGAGATGGTCCAAGAAATTGCAGCTGGTGCAGGATGCTGGTGCCACATTTGTGTAGACTTTTGTGGTATAGTCATGTGCTTTCTGTTTCTTGATTGATTTATTGATTGCGTTGATGTTTTTATTGTATTCTATTACATTTTGATTTTGGAGTCATAACTTTAATGCTGTTATGTGTTTTATCGTATTTTTTGTAGATTGTTAAGCACCCTAGGCTCTTTATGATGAAGAATGGGTTATAACTAAAATAATAATAACAACTGCCAGTGATGTGATATGGACCAGTGCAGTGTCCCATCATATACTGCATTAAGCTTAATGTTATTCTATGAGAAGGAGAGGGAAACAGAGAAAGCAGTGGCAGGCCGCTCCGTGTCTCCTCCAACATCTAGTTCCTACTCTCAAGTAGTGAATTAAAATCAGCAGTATAAGAAAGTGCCTGGATGGGTGCCTAGAAAGCAGCATGGGATTGCTATTTGTTTGCCATTTTCAGGAAAGGTTTATTGGCAGTTGAGACTTATGTTTTGAAGTGTAGACTTGTGAATAAGTCATAGGACTTGGAAATGAAGAGTTCTGGGTTGTGCTCCTGGCAGCGCCAAAGACTTCTAGTGTGCAAGTCCAGTTGGAGCTCTGTCTTAATATGAAGCAAACCCTAGTGTCTGTATAATTGCACCACTTAATTTTGTGCTATCATGCATGAAAGTTAGGCAGCTACATGGCTGCCAAATCCATTTAAAACATCATGAGGAAATGTTTGTGGCCCATAGCAATTACCCATCACTCATAGCTAAGCTACTCATTTCTTTTCTCAGTTTT